GTGTAGAAATACGAACTACTACCGGGCGCGTAGAGCTGCTCGGATTCTCCTATCGAAAGACGGCCCTCGAATGCCCGAGAAGAAACGACAGGAATTTTGGCAAGCACTTCATGATGTTGGTATTTACGACGATCCGAATGAGGCGTTCTCGTTGAGTGAGTCCAGTGACGCGGATGAGTATATGGGAAAGCAGGGCAACACTGATTCGACGTTCGCGTCGCATGGTGAAGTTGTTGTGAAGAAGTTGGGAGAACACTGGCCTGAATTCGTGAGTTGGGCGTGGTGCGGTATGACATTTTAAAATAATGTTGATGAATTGCAGTGTGAGAAAATATGTTGAGGTTGTTGTTCCTGTTACACAAATATCTGCCTTCGAAGATACTCGTGATGCTAGAGCACGTATATATACGGTTTTAGCTATGTAGGTTGTATTTATAAACCTACTACTTCTATCCACTACAAATATACTATGTTAGTTGATAGTTGATCTCTATTTCTCAAGTTTCATATTGTGCGCATGCGTACACATGTTCAACTGAGCATTGATCTTCGTGAGTAGTGCTGAGATTGGCCCAGCGCCAGTGTTGTGATATATGTTCGCTTTTCTCAGCTGACCCTGGAAGTTTTCTCACTCATTGTAGGAGTCCATATGCAAACTAGGGTAGAAATGTACAGAAACCAACTAGAATTTTGCAAAATTTCCTCATATTGTCACCAACATGTGCATATTTTCCCACAATGATCACCGCAGCCGTCTTGACTCGAGTTGGTTGCCTCAATGAGCCTGCAACTATCATGTGGTTCGCTTTTATTCGCTACAGTATGCACATGGCGAACCAAATGTGCTGGCCAGAATCCGTATAAACAGTAGGAGAAATTATGCACATGGTCAACTTCACGTGATGATGACAATATGGAAATGATTGTTTTTGTACATTTTTACGAACGTGATATGTTCGTCATCACTGTTGTTCAGGTCGAAGCTTGGCGTAAAGACTTCGTTACGTTTATGCAGCCGAAGTTCCTCCCCGAGGACTGGTCGCCCGATAAGGACTGGCGAGCAGTGTCCGAGGTGGAACTAGAGGCTGAGAGACGTGTGATGTATGCTGAGCATCTGCGGCATCTTGGAAAGGAGGTTCCGATCAATGACAAACCGATAAGACCAGCCAGGAGATGAGTGCACAGTTCGCGCTACATCATTAGCTTGACCACTGAGATTATTGTGACTTGTGTTGGATAGTAGGGGGTAAAAAATTGAGAAATTTCAGAAAGCGTTGATGGTAAGCTCAGGAGTTTCTAGAGCTAATTATAGGAGTTCTGTAGAAGTGTACAGAAACCAATACGAATCTCCTTGGAATTTCTAGATGACCATATGCATATTTTCCGCATTGATGAACGGCAACAGCTCATTGGTAGTGGCGAATGAATTCCCAACGACGAATGAAAACATACAGCCGTTTCTTATTAATTGGATTCGGTTGGTGAATCAACTTTTAGCACAGTGGAATGGCGTTTTTGATTCCCTATATCCTCGAGAACGCGGAAGCTCTTGAGGTAAGGCGCAGTTTGAGACGTTAATTGAGTGTGACTAGCTACTATGTACTAGACGTTTCACGAATAACCATTGACACATACTTATTGCATGTAGCGGTAAATTAGCGTAGTGGTTTACTTACAGATCTGGCATTAGAGCCACCCTGGTTCGATCTCTCCGGGGTGCTTTTTTTCTCAGCAACCCTGCTCACTATTGAGCAGGGTTGCTGGGGTATGCTCCAGAGACGGCTCCGTGCTTGAAAAGACAATAATAAAGCCACCTGTCTTGTTGCCGGGGAGTCGGAGGTAGCTGTAACTTAATAATGATAATATATAATAAGGTTTACCAATAACCAGTATGGCTTTTAGTAGGGCGGCCTGAGTCAGTGACGCTTACTAGGCTGAGAACCTGAAGCAGTATCGTAGATGTGTTTAGTGTACATCCCTTCAACCAGGTGTTCGATATAGGTTCTAGGAGCACTCCAGTATGTACCTTGTGCAGGGTCCTCTGCAGTGCCCAGATGCCACTTGGGAGTTCACACGTATCCTTTCACAACTCGGAGGCCCAACGGCAGTCGCCAGGGCAGCTTGTGTTCGCACGCACAGAAATGCGTCGATTATGGGTGAGTAAAAAATTCCGAACAGCGTTTTAGCGCGCGTTAAAACATTCTTAGCTACGTGCAACGTCTGTCTCCCCATGTAATCCTCGTCAGACGTCTGTACGCTTCAGCTTGTGCAAACTGTCCTCCGACAACACTCCTCTGTGGTTCTCCCCTTCGTGCTCTCTCACTGTATTAGTCTTCAGTTGTTTTAAAGTACTAATCTCAAAACTATGTCCATTGCTCACATTAACACTATTGACGCCCTTGAGAAGGCCTTCGGCGAGAGTGGCGACAAGCTCGTGGTCGTTGACTACTTCGCTACCTGGTGCGGTCCTTGCGTCAGTATGGGTCCCAAGTTCCAAGCGTTGGCCACTGAGTTCGACGGCAAGGTACCTAGCATAAGCCTCCTCTGCTTATAATCGACGTTTTCAGGCCGTTTTCATAAAGGTTGATGTCGACCAAGCTGAAGATGCTGCTGAGAAGGCTGAGATTCAGGTCCTCCCCACATTCGTTCTTTACAAGTCCGGTAAAGAGGTAAGTTAGAGACGACTGTTCTGATGGATTTTATATGCATTTGATCAGGTTACTCGAATGAGCGGCGCGAGTGAAGCTAAGCTTCGTGATTTGATTCAGGCCAACTGTTAAGCGACGGCCCATTCAATGCCGTTCTATACAATATTTGTCGATTGTTGATCTAAGCTCAAAAAGATGCTCCCCAAAGAATGAAGCCATTCGAGTTGTGTTCGTCAACCAGTCACTCTCCTTACAATACACAAGGACGGTCCTTGTTTAATACTTCCAATGCTAAATTCGGGTTGATTCCAACGAACTCAGCAAGACAATATGAATACAGTTGTTGGTCAGCAAAATCGCTCAAGAACCTCTCAGAACGACACTAATTTCCCCTTGCTAGTGGATATCGACATTGTAGTGCTGAATGATGTTTCTAGGAGCGAATTACTAAAGCTTTGGCACTTATCCGGAAGGGAATGACTGTTAGTAGTACATATAATGAGAGCTCTGCTGAAGAGACGCAACTCTCTCATCAAGCGACCTTATAGAACAACGTGGATGTACCATTAGCGCGTGTGAATTCTTCCGCGATTGGTGCCCCTGTCGGACAGGGCCTGTCCAGCTCTTTTTCAGTGCTAGGGTTTCGAGAAAACACATAGCTGTATGCATTCTCCTCATCGCCATATATATATTTGATCTAATGATAGACTCGTTGGTGTGCACTGTGATTCCATCCGTTGCATATTGCGTAGTGGTTAGCACACACGATTATCATGTCACCGACCCATGTTCGAGTCGACGCTGGGTAAATTCACCTTAGATTAGTCTCAAGGAACCTCTTAGGTTTATGTGTTCTGTTCACTTTCATAATCTTACGCCCTGTGATTCAACCCCTCCTCTTTTCTTCTATACCACAGCCCCTGAGTAAATTTTATTGACCTCATCATTGTCCCTCGCGAGGGATGCGATCTTCAGTATTGCTCCCATGATCAGAGCATTTTGACCAGGTCAGAATGTGAGGAATTGATAACACACCCACTAGCTTTACTTTTACGATGTGCCCGACTCGGTAACACAAAAAACGGAATATCAAAGAAATGGATGATTCTCTATCGTAAGTCTGAGCTGCATAAGCAGGTTAATAAAACACCTCGAAAATCATCCTTCTATTCCCTCCAGTTTCTTCTCAGCCAGAGTCACCTCATACGTCATACCCAGATCCTTGGCCTAAACATAGAACCATTCCTCCCATAACAAAAGCTCACAGAGTCACCTCCTTAATAGCAGCCTCTAGATCTTGCTTTGTATTGCCCGTACGAAGGCGACTACGCACATCCTCCGGGTTAGACTTTCCGCTACTATCGCCTAAAACCGTCACGAGAATAACCAACAACGCAGTGTTGCAATATATGTTCGCTTTCCTGATAGGAGTCTATACACAAATAGGAGAAGTGTACAAAAACTAACAAGAATTTTCCAAAATTCTCCATATTGTCACCAACACATGTGACCATGCGCAAATTTTCCCACACTGGAAAAAATAAAGCGTTCTCACTTACCCGCTAATTTCGTCTGTGACTGCGCTCTGAGGAGTGCTTGGCGAGCCTTTGCCTGAGGCTCAAAATCATTCATACTCAAATTTCTCGCTTTACTTCTTTGATTAAATGATTGAGGTCAGTCGTCGGTCTATCAGCAGTAGAGGAACGCTTAGCATCAGACCCTCTGAAGCGAGCTCAGCCTTACACTCAGCGAGCGCCGATGAGAACGTACTCCATCAAGAAGTGGGACTGTCCTTGCTGTTGGCTCTCCCGACGGCTATACCCGCTGACCCTAGCCGTCTCAGCTCCCCTTCTGGTTTGTTCACCCATTGCTGGCAGCTTAGGTAGAGCGAAAGAGTCAGTGCGGGCTCGAGGAGGCTCTGGTTCAATGGCCTGATAGAAGACTGAGTCCTGATGATGGTTCGAGTGAATTCCCATAACTAACCATGCCAATCTGGTACAGCTGAGCGGCTACAGAGAGAGCCGCCTTCCTTTCTCGATTGGCCTTGGCTATCTCCTCCTGCTGAGTGCGGTATCTGGGGAGGAATCACAGGGCGTGGATGAGATTGATAATGCGCACTTTCGGGTAACTTTAGTAATTTCCGCCATCAGCTTTGCATTCTCCTTCTCTAATTCTGCGTCAGTCTTCTCTGAAAGAAAAGACCCACCCTAGATTTGAACCCACACCCTCGGGCTAATAAGCCTACAGGCCTATCCAATTGAACTATCTCACCTTTTCCACTCCCACCATCCTTCTTCGGCACCGCCTTAGCCGCACCAGCTGCCTGCTCCTCAATTGATCGCTCAGAAGTGTCGGTCTTCTTTTTCTTCCCTCTCCGTTTCTTCCCCTTCTTCACTTCAGCTCCCTCATCGCCGCCACCAGTCGCCATCTCAGCGAGCTTGGCAGCGGGGGATTTATTCGGAGTTTCCACCGGCTCGCTGTCACCCTTTGGAGCGGCAACAGGAGTAGTGGAATGCCTCCTGCCCTTTTTGTCGCTGATCTCCTTCTCCGGAGTCGCCTCCGCCTCTTTTTCAGTGTGTTTGTCTCCCATGGGAGACTCGACTAATTGAGCAGGCACGACAGGAGTACTTCCGACCTGATGTGACATACGCTGTCTACCATACGTATGAGATCGAAAATGCAAGATACGAATGAGGTCGAAAATGCAAGATACGGATGAGGTTCACACATATAAGATACGAGTGAGGTTCACACATGTAAGATACGGACGAGGTCAATATGCAAGATACGGATGAGGTTCACACATGTAAGATACGGACGAGGTCAATATGCAAGATGCGGATAAGGTCGAATATACAAGATATGGATGAGGTCGGATATACAAGATACAGATCAGGTCAAGATGCAAGATACAGATAGAGTTGAATCCTACGCGTTCCCCTCCGGCAGCTTCTTCTGGGTCCTTGAAGGACACCGCACTCTTTAGTTTCGAGAAGATCGAGGAGAACATTTTCAAACTGTAATAACCGGCGAACTACCAGAGTCGACACCTTTGCGCACGCGTACAGCGATTTGGAGACCAATGCTGAGAACTCTCTAAGGTACCGATTATATCGTCCGTCATGTCAATGGAAAGTATACGCAGGTATACTTTTTTATGCGAACTCCCGAGTACTTCGCTGACTATTGATAGCATCATAATCAACAACACAGACGATGATTAATCTTAGTAACAGTGAGGCTGATGAACGTTCCACTCATGACTTATATCATCTACCATGCCTATGATTCTGCGAGCCACATCTCTCCAACTCCCAGCTGCCGTCTCCAGATCTCAGGATCTAATCCATGTCCAATCATTTTTCGCTCTCTGACACGTCGAAGCATCATAACAAACCACCCTGATAAACCCGGGGGAAAAGCAAGTTTTCTCCCATGAAAATTTCTCGCAACCTGTCACTAGTGTGCCACATCTCTCCAACCGCCAACTGCCGTCTCCAGGTCCAATAGCATCATAACAAACCACCATGATAAACCCGGGGAAAAAGCAAATTTTCTCCCATGAAAATTTCTCACGACCTGTCACTACAGTGTGCCACATCTCTCCAACCGCCAACTGCCGTCTCCAGGTCGCAGGATCTAATCCATGTTCAATCACTTCTCCCTCACTGATACGTCGACTACTAATAGCATCATAATCATCAACACAAACCATCAGGCATCATAATAACAGTGAGGTTGATGAACCTTCCATTCGCGACTCATATAATCTCCCACGTCTATGATTCTGCTTCTATGAAAAATAATAACATGGATCGCTTCGCTCCGCTTAAATTTTAACTTGGGGTCCCTATGCCAGAGGACTATACCATTGAGATATCTATTTGCCGAATAAGGGCCGCTGTGCCGGAGGACTATACCACTGAGATATCTATTCGCCGAATGGGGCCGCTAAGCGGGAGGACTATACCGCTGGAAAATCTATTCGCCGAATAGAGGGGCCGCTATGCCAAAGGACCATACTACTGAGATATCTATTTGCCGAATGGGGGCGCTATGCCAAAGGACCATACTACTGAGATATCTATTTGCCGAATGGGGGCGCTATGCCAAAGGACTATACTACTGAGATATCTATTTGCCGAATGGGGCCGCTATGCCAAAGGACTATACTACTGAGATATCTATTTGCCGAATGGGGGCGCTATGCCAAAGGACTAGACTACTGAGATATGTATTTGCCGAATGGGGCCGCTATGCCGGAGGAGCATAGCACTGAGATATCTATTTACCGGATGGAGAGACCGAATAAGTAGCGTTTCAGGTTGTAACTCTACCAATACTGAGATATATTGATGAGCGACTATATATTGCGTGAAGCGGTCATGCGGACAGTCACTCTATCAGTTCCAGTTTGGCTCAGTACTGCGTGAGTATGCCCTCCTCCCGCCCCCACGCAACTCTTGAGTCTGAGCTTGCAACATCGTCATTAATGCACCATGTTATCCCGTTGGGCTGGTAGTGGTGGGCGCGGCAGAAAGCCGACGTCTTCCCAGAGTCTGCGGGCCGTAGAACCTAAAATCATACATCAACTTCGGATGCTAATACGCCTCAGAGAATTTTGATCTAGATCTGGAATATATATCTCGTCCCTCGAGCTAAGCTCGGAAGTTTGCACGCTACATTATGGACTTAGGCCAGAAGTGTACAAAACACGAAAAATTCCGAGAAACATATACTCTTATTCTGTTCACAATGAAAGAACCCACAAATCTCACCTGCATCCGTCCGGTACCTTCCGCTGAGGGCGGGGAGGCGGAAGCCTGTTCGTCGCTACTCTAGGAGCCGGACAAAAATATCCCGACATATTGGAAATGCCTGGAGGGAAGAGAACTCCACTGAAAATTCACTTCATTCCACCACCTTGGACGACTCCTACAGGGGGATTCCTCAGCCATGTTGCACTAGAACGCCTAATCAAACGCAACAACACCGAATACGCAGACGTTCATCTCCTCAAATGCCCACCTGCCCTCTTCCTTATACGTTTTGTGCGCCAACAAACTAGTTCCATCTAGTTGAGAGCCATACCGTTGAGGATAGTATAGAACTGCTTGCACGGATGGTCTTCTGGAAGGACCTATACAGGTGCGCTCGGTCGCAACTTGGAGGCTGTTATACAAACCTAGCATTCTTCTCTGGGATCCTTGCTTCTTCTCAACTTCTGCTGCTAACGACGATGTCAACGGCCTAAGGGAAAGACTGTATACAATATAGAATTCGAAAAAAATCAAATATATCAGGAAAAATCGATTTCAATATTCAATGAATCGGAATAAAACTGATTAGAATCCAATTCATATTGGAGGAGATAATATTGGAATACGACTGATATCACTAAATCGGAAATTTCCGAGCAAGTTCTGACTAAGTGACTTCGACTTGAGTCTGTCATCGTAACCAACGAAGAACTCTTGAACTGAATAGACTTACTTGTGTGTTCGAAAGTAGTCTGCAATAGAGCTCCCGGATGACTCGCAGCCACTACTGTTAGTAGTGTTGCTATCCGCAGTGCTCGAGGGCGGCATTGGAAAACTCAAAATGAGGCACAATCCGTACCTATTTTGTATCCAACCAACTCACAGCATAAGATACGGATAGATACTCTCAATGACGATATATACACATGCGAATGGCAAAGAATATACTTTTTTAGAGGGAAAATAAGATCAGCAATGTTACATGCTTTACCACGTCAACATGGTCAGCAACAAATCATATCGGTTGTTTTACCGAGCTCAACCGGGTCATCTACCCGATGCTGCCAGCCGTCAACCAGCTGCGACCCATTCGCGATACACTTTTTGAAACATGCATATTATGTGGATGGCAATACGCTAAGATAAATGCAAAGATTCAAGCCGAACGTGCAAGATGCGAAACACAAATACCAACATCGTCAACGACCAACATATTGCGCCGCCCGCAGAGGCGTTGAGGAATTAAGAGATTATTCAAGATTAGTAAGAAAATTCACACCCGCATTCAAGCGGCAATTAACAGACTCTTACTCCACGGACTTTGTGATATTGACTGGTTGAGGTTACCGATGAGCGTTTCACTCGTAGCCAGAAAATTTCCTCAATACGATAGTTTTCTCGTATCCGAGAAAGATCTGACCCTGTTGGGGTTCATTCTGGTAGAAGTGTCCATTCTCATGAGGCACTTCCTCCAGGTGTAGCTGATCGGGCTGATACCGACGGGGATCAATCCAATCAATCCTCCACAAGCCAAGGAAGACAATCTCCCGAAGCCTCCGAACCCATGATATTACTTACTTAGTAACTGCCCGTTATTGCAGCTTATTCCCTTATAAGAACTGCAACTATAAGGAAAGTCATCAAGACTGAATAATATGTACAGAATGATATCCAGTTTGAGTCACGAGTTGAAGAAGTGTGACCATATTGGAGATGAGAGAAGCACGGGCTTTGTAGTGTTTTCGTTTCATTGCTGAGGGCAACCTGGGACTTGAAGAAGTGCCTCCGAACTAAAAGAGAACTTCCAACAGGAACCTATATTGCTCATATTTCTTTTGACGTTCTGACGACTCTACAATCCTATTCTTGCCTACTGGGGTACTTGAACAACAAAACGACGTGTTAATGATGAAATAAATTCTGGCAAAAATTGTGAGTAGTAGAATCAAAGGCTCTCAAAGGCTCGAAGTGGTATTGACACGAGTGGCCGGCCGTATTACTAATTCCTCTGTAGTTCGCGGAGTTGGGCGCGTAGTAGTAGAAGCTGGTACTACAGAAGGTATGATGATAGAAGACCAGCTTGACGAAAGAGGCAGTAATGTGACTCTAGAGACATTTTGTATCGGCAAAGCGTACTGCATCGGCAAGGTGAACGTAGTGGACCAGTAGGAGCTCATGTCAGCCGTAGTTTTAGCCGATATTGTCAAGGGCGGAGCCGATGGTGACACCGATGGCGACACCGATGCTGATTCCTTCCGTTCAACAACACTTCTACGCAGCGCATTATATGTTTCATTGACAAGTCCACCCAAATTTGTGGTGAATCTTATGATCTCTTGGCCTCCGTCTCGAATCATCAATAACGGTATGTCAATTTGACCCAAATACGAGCCGTTATAATATAAGTCCGTCGGGCTTGGTCCAATTGTCAAGCGTGTTGCTGAAGGATTGACGACAGTAACCTCCAAAGAGGATTTAAGGCAGATGGTACCAGCAACAGGTCCACATTGAAAAGTCCTACCATGCGTCGTCATCTCGTTCAAAGTCCATCGTAGACCGTCAACAGTAGACAATATTGTAAATCGACTCAAAATAAACTTCCAGCAAAGGAAGAGCGCAAATAACAGAATTAATATGAGGACTAAGCCAGCACATATCCACTGCCTGAAGGTGACCATGGATAACCAATGACATGGTTTGGCGCTACGCCTGTCGACAAAACCATCCTCGGTTTCGTCGAAATCGTCTGCAAACTCTTCATAGAGTCCAGGCTTTCCAACCTTAACGGCGGCAACCATACAGGGAAAATAACTACTCATAGGAGGATATCATCTCAGCTCACAACTCGTCCGTTTTCAGCTACGGAAGGATATCGAACCCCAAGGAGACGGCAGGAGCGGCATACTGGTAGGAGACAGGAGACTGTGATGCGACGTGACGCACGTTAAACAGATCGCGCACAACCGTCAGCACAAAGCCGAAATCGATCACCATTTTTTTGCAAGTCGCAATTTGGTTCGAAAATGCGCCTCAAAATTGGAAGTTGAATATGGGACATTAGAAAACTTCGCCAAAATCCTCATCGTACCCGACCGAGCACCATCAAACCTCATAAACTATATAGTTGCGACTTGCTTACAGTGGTGAAGTCGAAAATGAAGAAATTTTACGCTTTAACGAAATTTGCCAATTGGCTGATCATCCTTTGCGGTGTCACTTGGCTCAAGGTCTTCCCAGTGCTAACTCAAGAGTGTCGTTGTCTACGGAGTTAACCATTAGAAGATGATAGTAATACTAACTATAATAGAGCTACTATAAACATCATAAACCGATAATCCGTTTAATAATCCCGCAACGAGGGAACGTGTACTAAGCGTTGGGCGCTTAACCTATGCTTGCCAGCGGAGCGATCGATGCCATGTTTATATGGGTGAAAAGACGAACAGAGTCCGAGTGGAGTGTTTACTAGATGGCGGTGCTACATACAGCATGCTCCCCCATTTCCGAGGAACTGGCGAGGGAGTCGGCCAGTAAACCCAAAGCGCACCTTATACACATAAAACTGAGCTGTGAGATCTCAATGCTGACAACTACACCCTAGAGTGGTGCTCTGAGTGAAGTTTTGTAGGTTGCAGAACTTCACTGTTCACGATAGTTTAAGAAACTATCGAAAACTACAAAACTTTAAGTTACAGACCGTAACACATTGGCACACCCCGATGAACCACTTGTGCTGATGCCTATCTTCAGATGGCATAGTTGCCCCATCCCGAAAAACCGGCTATACTGATGCATATCTTCAGATGGCATAGTTGCCCCACCCCGAGAAACCGGCTATACTGATACATATCTTGTGGTGGCATAGTTGCCCCACCGCGAGAAACCGGCTATACTGATGTATATTTTCGGATGGAATAGTTGCCCCACGCCGAGAAACCGGCTATACTGATGTATATCTTCTGGTGGCATAGTTGCCCCACGCCGAGAAACCGGCTATACTGATGTATATCTTCTGGTGGCATAGTTGCCCCACGCCGAGAAACCGGCTATACTGATGCCTATCTCCAGATGGCATAATTGCCCCACCCCGAGAAACCGGCTATACTGATGCGAATCTTCAGATGGCATAGTTGCCCCACCTCGAGAAACCTGCTATACTGATGCCTATCTTCAGATGGCATAGTTGTCCCACCCCGAGAAACCTGCTATACTGATGCCTATCTTCAGATGGCATAATTGCCCCACCTCGAGAAACCTGCTATACTGATGCCTATCTTCAGATGGCATAATTGCCCCACCCCGAGAAACCGGCTATACTGATGCATATCTTCTGGTGGCATAGTTGCCCCACCCCGAGAAACCGGCTATACTGATGCCTATCTTCAGATGGCATAGTTGTCCCACCTCAAGAAACCGGCTATACTGATGCCTATCTTCAGATGGCATAGTTCCCCACCCCGAGAATCCGGCTATACTGATGCCTATCTTCAGATGGCATAGTTGCCCCACCTCAAGAAACCGGCTATACTGATGCATATCTTCGGGTGGCATAGTTGCCCCACCCCAAGAAACCGGCTAGACTGATGGATATCTCCTGGTGGCATAATTGCTCCACGCCGAGAATCCGGCTATACCGATGCCTTTTCAGATGGCATATCTTCAGATGGCATAGCTGCCCCATTCACAAGATTCGATTGTCTTGCTGTCTATCTTCGAATTGCATAGCTGCCCACGGGCCAACGCATATCTCCACGTGGCATAGCCGCCCCATCCCCAAATATTCTGCTCTATCTAAGTTAGCCTCTTAGCTATACTTCAACTCATGGCCACACGACACTATCGCAGCGTACAATAGGAACAAACAATAATGCCTCATCCACAAGATGCGACCGTGGTTATACATATCTCCGAGCGGGATAGCTGCCCACCTAAAGAAACCGATCATGCTACTACATATTTTCGCGTGGCATAACTGCCCCACTAACAGAAATTAGTATTCCCAATAGCGAAATAACCCTCTCAATTATACTAAAACCATGCAAGACCTTGAGATACTGATGCGACATGGAATACTGCCTCATCCGAAAGATTCGACTGTACTTATGAATATCTTCTCGAGTGGCATAGCCGCCCCACCCACAAGTATTCTTATCTCCCACTACAACAACTCAAGGCCACAAGATACTGATGCAACGTAGAATATCAACAAAGGAATACTGCCTCATCCAAAAGATTCCACTGTACCTATACATATCTTCTCGAGTGGCATAGCCGCCCCACCCACAAGTATTCTTATCTCTTACTACAACAACTCAAGGCCACAAGATACTGATGCAACGTAGAATAGCAACAAAGGAATACTGCCTCATCCGAAAGATTCCACTGTACCTATACATATCTTCTCGAGTGGCATAGCCGCCCCACCCACAAGTATTCTTACCTCCCACTACAACAACTCAAGGCCGCAAGATACTGATGCAACGTAGAATAGCAACAAAGGAATGTCTGACGTACCAACATAACGA